ACATGAATAGTATGTATTCATGTTCTAAACTTCCATAACTTATTCATGTACTTTCATACTTTCTCTATAGACAGCTTATCTAAGGTCATCATTATGTGTACAGTTTATTTTCTTCTTAAATACTAGATAAAAAGAAGGAAAGAGAACTGAATGTTCTAAAACCAACAGCTTCATGGAAAAATCGTACACAGTTATCAGGAAGACAAAAGTACTGGATTAAGAATCAAGAACATGAAAATTCTGCTAAAGTAAATTTTAGTTCATTTTCTTAGTGTATGCGATTTGAGTTTTCAAAAGAAATTCGATTCGTTATATTATTTATTTGACGGTTATTTCTAAATTTCACCTTGCATCTCTTGAAATTCACCGTTATCAAATCAGGTATTTTAATTATTATTGTAATCGTGTACCTCTATTGCTGGGTTTCTGAACTGAAAAGGATCTAACAATTTTGCATTACAATAATCCTTGCAATTTATTCTCCAAGAGAATAAGATGATCAGCAAATCAGGAGGTCTGTGAAGAGTGTAGTGAACAGAACACGGGTGGGGACAATCGAATGTATTTGACTCAAACTTATAGGACTTGTTAATAAAACCTAACAATCAAGTAGTAAATGCATAATTTGCAAAATGTCCATTAACTGTCCCATAATTACTCAGACTTGATTGTTCTTGCATTTTCATACAAATCGCACTCTGTTCCCATTCATTACTGTTCGATCCTCTTGTCTCTCTGCTGCCAGACCTCCTGTTCACGAGTAACGTCATATACTACTTATGTCAGTATAAGTAGCACACACCACAAAGAGTATCTAATTTAAGGTTAGTTATCATCACAGACATACTTCAGACAATGAGACGTAAGAAACTGAAGAACAAAATACAATTGTTTAATCCCAGTAGTGGAATTCACCCTCAGTCAAATAAGTTAATAGTTAAACAAAAGGTTATAAATTACGCCGAATTATAATGCTGTTAAAATCAAACGTTAACTGAACTTAAAAATTATGAACTCCTGGACTCTAGTTCGGTAGCACTCTCCGGGAAACTCAATCCACTTTCGTTGAAACTGTTAGTTCAGAGTTTCGGTGAGCAAAAACCTAGGAATAAACTAGCTCTCAAGTAGTTCCTAGTCAACAGTGGTTCTCCAGTTAATTTCATCTTCTTATGAAAATCAAACGCAGAATCAGATGATATTCGTGAAACACCTACCCAAATCTTCATAATGAAAGTTGTAAAATAATTTATTTCAATATATTAACGGTGGTAAACACATAAGTTACAATAAGAGACTATGTCTATTACTTAAGTGGTATCTGACACAAACCCGCAGTACTGAATGATGCAGTATTTCCATCACTATTAAGACAAAACCAATGACGTTAGTTTTATGCTCAATATATTTAAATCGGAGACTTACATTTTTGCGATAGAAATTCGCCAACAGATCTTCATAGAAATGTCTTATAACATTATGCTACTTATAAGTAGAGTACCCTGAAAAACTATTTTATTTGTCTTGTAAATTGTTTTGCAGGAAAAACTAGATATCACACTTGATACAAAAATAACTCCTGTAGTATGGGATAATCCAATTGAGAAAAACAAACTGTCGTTTGTTCCAGTAGCGAATCAATGTTGTAATAATTATTTTGTACGACTGAATGGAAGTCGTTGTATTAACTCAGCTCAACCATCCATAAATAATCTTACTTTTGGTGCATTTCCATCTCATCAATTTCATAAGATACATCAGCAAAAATCCCAACAATCTTACCGTGTACATTCCGGTAATCTTTGTGACGGAGGAATACATTCAAACCCTTCAATGATAAATCCCACCAATGGTCAGATAATTCAAAATTTGCCAGTGAATCTTGATAATCAATCATTTTATCAAGATTGTAATGATACAAATTTTACTGGTAAGAAAAGTCATCAATCAGTAAAAAATTCGTCGTTTGAAAGTATATGTAATCCGATTCACACATCTTTACGAATAAATGAAAATTATGGTTTTCTACCTTCAAGAAGTATTCGATCTAATTCAGCGGTAAAATCAAAATACATCTTCACAGACTTGACTAGTTGTAGTAACAATAGTAATAATATTACTACAGGTAATTCCCAGAATACTTCAAGACAGCATAGTCATAATTCCTCTAGTAAAAAAGCACCTAATGACTATGAAAGTAAGTTTCGCCTTTATAATCCAAATATATTATTCATGCTAAATATGATGATTGGAAACAGTTCAGTATATTAATCTCGATAGTCGCTTAATATTGTCAGTTGATTGAAGTTGGGTATGTAAATCACTTTGCCCCAACTTAAAGGTACATATACATATTTTTGCTGTCAAACCTCTTAGTGTTTGGTTCGGTTTTGTATGCGATGGTGAAGGGGATTTCCTGCAAAGACCAAAATTAAGGTGGAAAAGCTAGCCCCAGCTTCCTGGTTTTTACAATGGTTTTTCAAGTTTATATTAGTCTCTGACGAAAACTGACATCAAACAGATATCAAAATCTCTATAATTATAATATTCATCAATAAATTAAGCTTTCTCATTGCAAATCATTCACAAATATATAAATGTTAAAATTACTACTTGAGATGTAGATCACCTTGAAAGGAGTTAATGCAAACAAAATTTCCTGACGAGTAGAATTTTTTTTTAAGAACCCGCATCAAAAATCACATTGACAAAAGAAAAACAAGTCATTCAATAACTTTATTTGACAAAACTTTAATACTATATATCAGCAAACTTCAACGGCCATTCATTTCGGATGTATTACAAAAAATAAAACGAGTAAAGCATATAATAAATATATTTTTGTTAGATCCCAATGAGTGGAAAAATTGTATTTCTGACGTTTCGTAACTTAATGTAAGCCACTTCCTCAGAGTAAATAAATAATCGACAGTAAATTAACACAAGTTTAAATAGTACTATTTATTTAGATTTAAAAAGAACGGATATAGCACTAGATTATATATGCTTGTTGTTAATAAGTACACAGATCCACTATTTATTTTAACGGATTTCAACGATTATTAATTTCGATTAACTACAGATGAAAAATATAATTGTTGATTCACATATTTACATTTTAACAGGTGTTAAAACAGCGGAAAAATATAAAACCCCACTACCTACATTGGTCAATCCTCGTGTGAACACATCCCATAACAGTCATGGTCCGCAGTTAATAATCAATGGTTTAATGCCAGTTGTCTCGTCGGCGAAATTAAATCGAGTTGTTAAGAGAACTTCAAACCAAGAATATTACCGAACAGTTTTAAACGAATAATGAGTATTTACATAGAAAAATTTAGGATAATCGCTCAAATATTGAAAGTTTATGCTGTAATTAGATTCATTTAACGATAAATCAGTATAAATGTAAATAAAAATAGTTTCCAATTCATTAAAATAAGCACACAAAAAAACAAAGTTCTGCAATTACAGTAAACAAAAATGATCAAAATAAGTCAGTAAACAAATGTATCTCTCTTATTTCTGTCAATAAGTTCTTCCCTGTGAATATTTTTCTTTGTCATGAAAGTGATTTCAATTTACTTTCAATTAAATCAAATTCAGTTTCAGCTTAATGGATTTTATTTAAACAATCAAATAATAATGTTAAAGCTTTTTACACATGTTAGAGTGTTGGCCACACTACTTTTGTTTGTTATACAATATACACTGAAAAATGTAATTTCAAACACAGATTGATTTTCATTGTTCATTCAATTTACTTAGTTCTATTGAATCACTACCAATTTGCCAAATGACTTTCACAATTTCAATTTATTCTTTGGTGAATAAGGCTGGATAATTGAAAAATAGGATTCATATTGTGCTTACGAATCAAATCTCTACACATGATTGATACTTAGTAGTGAAATTACTGAAGATAGTAAATCAATTTTGATATTTTATCAGATTGTTGATTTAGTTTATTTGTAGTCTCAGACGTAAATCCTTATTTTAAACTTATCTATATACCATTCATACAGAAATATTTAAAACTGTTTCTCATAACAGCTATTAAATATGATATTTAATTAAACAAACAAATTGTACACATCAAGACCACATTAAAGTTGCATACATTTAATGCACCCCCAAAATATCAATTTATGCTAGAAAATACTAATTGTGATGTCTCTCAATAAAAGTAGTATAATATTTTAGTGAGAATTTAAGCATATTAAAAGTAATCCCATCAGGACATTTGTACTTTGAAAAACTGAACAGTAATTTATCCTTCAAATACATTGATTAAACTTAATTAACAATAATTTTACGGAAAAACTAGTGACTATTAACTAGATGTTTATTCTTGTTTTCTAAAGTATACCGCGGTCGGTAAGCACACACATAACATATTGGACTGTTTATTATTTTAAATTCACACCTCTGAGAAACTTTTGATATTACATTTAGATTTATATGTGTTTGACCTAAAAAGTGTAGGTACACAGAAACTAGATTTTCTGAACAATTAAAAACCTATTCTTTGAAACACTTTAAGTTAACACTAGTAATTCATATTCTTTAGTTAAGTAATTCAGTGAAGTTTTCACAAGCGTAATAGTCCAAATAATAGCAAATTGCTATAGTTGCAACATTTTGGACGATGATATAATAATATGTGAAACCAACTCAATTAAACAGTAAACCTTAATGAAATAACCATCTATCAACAGGTTAATTCGAAAACGATTGATAAATAGTTTCTCCGAAACTATATTAATTTAAACAAGCGTTACGTTAAACCGTTTTAAATAACACCAAGACTACTAGCGAAAATCATCCTTTCGATAGTTATTATTTACATTATATTACTGATTGGCACAAGCATATCACTAATCCATCCACCACCACTGATTACTATCAGAACTGGGTAATAAAACGTACATTTAACCAACAAATAAAAAATTGATGAAAACATCTAAGCAATGATCTGATATAATAACCCTGGAAACTTTGAAACAAAGACTTTTTATCAAAAAAATATAATTGATCAGAACATAAACTGAAACCATGTACAAATGATATCTTTCACACAAAATTATATTTATTCACATGAGTTAGAAAGCACATAGGAAAGACTGTACAAAAGGATTGATTTTAAAATAATTATTATCTTTATCAGCTGATAGAGCTTGTGGTAAATTTAATAGTTTACGTTTTTGTAGCAGTCAGACCCATTTGTTCTAATTCAGCAAATAGTTTATTGGCTTCAGTTTCAACTTCTGGTCGATCATCTTCTAACGCTTCTGATAGAGCTAAGAGTGAATCTGATACAATACAACTGACAGGACCAGAAAGTTTTGAATCCATTGTAGTATCCTTATCATTGTCAATTTCATGATTATTTGAGTGATTAAAGACAAACTTTAACAATCGAATTGCAGCCAACCTAGTACGCCAGTACGTGGAGTGCATAATACGTTCAGTCAGTGCGGAACCGAGTGGACGAAGATAGGCTTCATCACCGCATATTGCATTCAAATATGAGCCTAATACATCTTGAATATCAGTTTCATTTATTGGGGGTGCATCAGAAGATGGACACGATATATCGAGTAATCCAATTAAAACAGAAGGAATATATTGTACTGATTCTCCTATTGAGGCAGCATCCAGACATCCTACGTTTTCCACCTCTCCAATAAGCCATTTATGCAAGCATGACAATGAAGCATGAATACAAATTAAAACACAAGATGTAGCTCCATCAGAATAGCATTGAAGCGATCGGCCAAAACCTAACCGATTGGACAGTTTTTTAGCACCTGCAGAAACGAAATTTTAATGATTTAAAATGTAAATAAAAGATACAATTCGGCATAGGAAATGAGAAATTTCAGCAAAGCATTGATAAATAAGAGGAAATAGCATCAAGTGATTCAGTATAACAAGACATAATCTGCACGGAAAATTGTTAAATGTCATTAATTTCATTTAATGTTGAGACAGTACAACTGATTTGAGATGACTTCTGGAATGGTGGTAGGTGTGTCAAACTGGCAACCTATTTATTGATTATACTTATAAAATAGGAGCTAAATATACCTCAAGAGATAAAACTACTGACCAAGTGACCAAATATTAAAATTGTTACTAATCTACAAAAATAATACATCATCACCAACTTCAAATATTAGGGATCTTTTTAGTTATCCCGCAAATGTTATATCACTTTGTTTTGTTGTCTTCATTTGTAACTGGTAGTCTATAGCTTCTATCATCTTAATTTGTACTTGTCTTTATTTTGATTGTTTTTTTCGATTGACCTCTGATCACGTGATTAATTGACCTTCTCCATGATATAATGCTTACAGAATAACTAGATAGATCACTTTTATGTGAAATAGGCATCGATTGTTTTGTCCAGAACGGCGATGCAAGCTCGAGAGAGAAACCATGTAGCTCAGAGAACAGAACACCACCAAATTGATGTATTAAAATTGTTACTAATCTACAATATAATCAACGCTGAATCCATTAATACCATAGGATGTCGGTCCAGAGGTTTAGGCGTTGAGCACTTGTCAGGAGATAGAGAGCACTGTGTTCGACCCCAGGGGGCCGTGGATGTCTGCCACTGAGTCTCACACTACGAAGAAACGGTTATCTATTGCTTTTTAGTTTTTAGTGGTTCTCTAACTAAAATCAACCCATTATGTAAACTGAAAATTCAACTACCTCCACAGACCATTGTACTAAAGATAACATATAGTAAATCAAGTGTTTTACGTCAGACTTACTAAAAGAGTGCCAAACGAACGTAGGATTAACAAAACACTGAATAACAATTGAAGAATTCAATTTCATAAATGATAGGTTGCTCGCAAGAAGTGAGTCATTAGATTAGAACAAGACTAAATCTGAGAGCAATACAAGTTGATTATTCTAACAAACGTGAAATTGAATGCGACATATCGGAATAAATCATTGAATTGAAGAATATATGGAACTCAAAACAACTATCAACCAATATCAAAGTCACAATCTTCAATACAGACGTCAAGATGGTCTTACGGTACGGAGCTGAAACATGGATGAACTACCACAATCATCGTCAAAAAGGTGCAAGTGTTTATAAACAGTTGTCTACGCACAATACTCAATATTCGTTGGTCGGGTACCAGTATCAGCCCATTGTGGGAGAGGACAAACCAGTATCTAGCTGAAGTGGAAATTAGAAAAAGATGTTGGAAGTGGATAAAACATACATTACACAAATCAACGAACTGCATCACGAGGCAAACACTAACTTGGAATCCTGAAGGGAAACAGAAAAGAGGGAGGCCGAGGAACACAATACATCGGGAATCGGAAACAGATATGAAAAGGAAAAATAGCAACTGGAAAGGATTGCCCACGATAGGTTTGGATGGAGAGTGTTGGTGGGCGGCCCATGTTCCTCGACGAGGGGTAAGTAATTGAGGTTAAATAACTTTAATCAATCACTATATCATTTTGAGTAGCCTTGAAGATTAGTATATCTTATAAGTTAAATGTAATGTGATTTGGATGCTGTGACTTTTTCAGTTGACATCTGTTACCACTAGGTGCTTACAATTGACCATACATTTTACTTAAGCCATTTCATACCTCAAATCTAAACATAATCGACTTTAACTCATTAAAATAGAAAACCTTTAACATACCCTTAAATTTATTACCGACAGCTATGATGAATATTAGAACAATATAATCAACTAAATACAATTGTTTGCTTAGTTCAGAAAATTCTTCTGTGTTCAGATAATCTGGAATTCTACAATTTGAAGAAAACAGAAGGGAAACAGCATATTATATGAATGATAAAAAATTTACCATACAAACACATTGATATTATTTACAAAATAAGAATAGTAGACAACACTGGTGTAATAACATGAACTAAGTTGAGTTCTTCAAAAATGTTTTTCGACGTCTTCTTTTACAAGTAATATTATTGGATAACATGAGAAGAAGTTAAACAAGATATATTGAATGAATAAATGAATTTTACACTTCAATGAATGATTTCAAAACCTATTCTAATATGCTAAAATCAAAATGTTGATGAATAAATAATAAAGAAACATTAAACAGCTATCGGATTTAAGTTTCCTCCTAACTTTAAATACTGAATTAATAATAACTTATTGTGGAGGTGAAAACTTGTGTTTTCACTGATTCGGAGCACATTTTACGTATGAAAGCTAGTAGTGATATTACCCTGAAGTATGTGGAGCGGGTATCAGGCCTATGAAGTAGAGGCTGAAAGTCGAATAGATTACCTATCGATTACTGAAACAAAATATCAAGTTAATTAATAAATAAAGATAGTTTAATACTAAATAATGTTCAGAAAAAAATGCTGTCTATGCAGAATAAACAAACCTTTCCATTATCCTGAATACAACTGATAAACGTAATAGCATCTGATCAGTGATATCTTTGATTTGATCAACTGATTCTTTTTCATTATCTTGAACATTGACCCATGTAAATAACTGTTGACAAATTCTCAGGCGAGCATTATCATCTGGTAATGAACTGATTAAACTAGCGACAGAACGGTAGAGACATAAAAGCATATCGTTGTTTTTTAATTCTATAGTATTTCGAAGATCACCTTCATTCAGTTTATTCACGACTGTACACAAACAAGTATGGATCAAGCGCCATGTTAGGTCGGGCTGAGTAGCATGCATTGTTGCGAAAGAATGTAACTGATTTTCATCTTTAGAAGCAAACACACCGTTCTCTTTAATGGGTGCCATGGATTCGCCAAAATCAGACAGGAAAGACAAAGCACCATGTAATAAAGTCTATGAAAAAGATGGAAAGGTACATAATTTTGTTTGAAAAATAACTGATTAGGAATTAACAGAATACATGTTTTAAAGGAACATACGTAGAAATCGATTAAGGATAAACACTAATTTGGTGATGTGTTCTCTGAGCTACATGGTTTCTCTCTCGAGCTTGCATCGCCGTTCTGGACAAAACAATCGATGCCTATTTCACATAGAAGTGATCTATCTAGTTATTCTGTAAGCATTATATCATGGAGAAGGTCAGTTAATCACATGGTCAGAGGTCAATCGAAAAAAACAATCAAAATAAAGACAAGTACAAATTAAGATGATAGAAGCTATAAACTACCAGTTACAAATGAAGACAACAAAACGAAGTGATATAACATTTGCGGGATAACTAAAAAGATCCCTAATATTTGAAGTTGGTAATGATATTGTCCAGAACGACAATGAAAGCTCAACAGGGAAACTACGAAGCCCAAAGAACACAACATAGCTTAAACCATCTGCCAGAGTTGCGAATCTTTTCCACTAATTCAAATATCAATTTATTAGGTTTTAAGGTACGATTAATTCATCATGGCTATAGATACTATCTGACAAATCAAATTAAAATAAATCAACCAAGTATTGAACTTGAAAACAAATGACTTTGAATCAAACTAGGTAAACATACATAAAAAAATGGATTAATTATCTTATAAAACATGAAAAGTGTAATTTCAAAACAAAACAAAAATACGATAATAAATGAAACCAGATATTTTGAAGGGTTTTTTTTCTCAATACTTTTTCAGTTGATTGAAATAAAATAGAAAACTATAACTAAATAAACACGAAAGTTACTCTGTATAACTGGATTAATTAAATAGAAATATTCAATGTTCAAATAGTTATTTCTTGTAGTGCAACTGGAACAATGTTCATAACTTTATGCATAAAACTAAATAGTGTTATCGAGTTGTATATATTATGAATTATCACAGCATTGTCATTACTCTATACAAAGAGAAAGTTGCTTACATGAACATCATTTTCTTTTAAAAAAAAACAATGAAAATTTCAAATTTATGGCTAACACAGTACACAGCGAAATATTGTGTTATTTTTGAGAACTAAGTCACATAATTGTTGATGGTACTTAATGGAGGAAAATAAACATTTTTTTGTTAATATTGAAAACAATCAAATAAAACATGAAAACTTACGTTACTAATCGTTTTAGAGGCTTTTTCAATGACAATCTGAATTGATGTGAGTAAATAATTGACTTCTGTTACGTGACGGAGAAGTTTACTATGAATATGAACAAAAATAGGCGGTAAATATCACTTACAAGGTTTGACTAGATAATTTCAAATTAATTGAACATTGGATAGATTTTTATAAATAAATAAAAATAATATATTTGCAATATCACAGTGAATAGGATAATTAGATCTAATTTTTCTACTCGTTGTTAAATTACAAATATATTACTTTTTTTTATTTATAAAATTAGGCGGCTAAATGCTGGACATTTCTAAGAAATGAGATTTCTAGAGTTTATTTTCAGCTAAGAAATTATATAAATTTAAACGGCTAACTATAATGGTAAACATTTTGGTTATGAAAGATGAGTTCCGTAACAATAAAATCCGAACAGAGAACAAGATAATACTTACTTTATATAACACACAGAGAGGTTTCAGTTCAAGTAATCACATCCACTAACAAAATCAGAACATATAATAGGCTCATTAGAATCGGTATTAATTAATACTTAACCTAATGAGTCTGAAACGCCCCTAAATCAAAAGTGAAAACCGCAACACACTTTATATAAAGAACGTTGATTTTAGCGATAAATAAATGGTCGGATAAAGTGGAATATACCTTATTTCAGTAAAACAACATGTTTGTTAAATCTTTCAGTTACACTAGATGTAATTAGTCTTGAAAACCAAAATGTCTTATCACCGGATCTCTAGGACATAAACGTACAACTTCTTTAGTGTAACTCTTTCAACACAGAATCCATAACACCAACGACAGGTTTAAGTACTATGCTCTAGGTCACACTTTTGGTTCAAGAGCTAATGAGATGACCCATCTGCCTAAAATAAGAAACGAGGACTGGACGACCCCTTTCCCCCTAAATATATGTATAACGAGAATGAACACTTAGGTCATATGTCATCCATTGTTTAGGATACAGACAACTTATTGACGTTACATACCATGAACGTTAATGAGTGCTATCAAAAAACCCACTAGCTTTGGAAGAGGCATTTCGTGAACCATTTATTTAGTTGAGTGAGAAAACAACATAGGCAGATAGAGTAACAGATATATCTAGTCATATCATTTTATATGGTGTAGATGAATATAAGATGATATAGTTATGGACTGAATGCCAATTAATAAGTGAACTCGGGCTTTAGAATTTCGATTGTAATGGGGTTTAAGCGATAAAATCATCTCACTGACAGTTGACATTGTTAATATATTGGCGACTTCTGAGTATCTTGATGGTAGTAGATTTAAAAGTGTTATGCAACTAAAAATGGTCTTTTATTAGTGTAAACATTGTGCACATAATATATACACAATACTTTCAAAATTTGCTAAGAAATAGTCACTAAATATTGTGTAACTTACTGTATGTGTTCAACAAGGTTTGATATCTGACGAAATACAGAACTAGAACGTTCCGGATTACAACCTGTTAGTGTTGACAAGTTATCTTTGCGGAGCTGAAACACAAAACTTAGAAGTGTTACTGCAACAGGTTCTTGATAGGCAGAATTATTCGCATTTTTCTTAGTTGTACTCTCAAATTCTAACCACTTTCCAATAGCCGATTCAGTATTGTCTGAAGAATAGTCACCTTTAGACTGTTGACATAACCGATGAATGATGGCTAACTCAAGTAGATTGCTGATCAGCGTTAAACTAGCCTGAAAGAAGTCAACAAAAGACCACAAAGTGAACATTATTCACACGATCTCAGCAGTGTTTAAAACAACTTGCTAAAAATGTTTAGACTATGAATTTCTAAAGTGAAAAAAGCGACAGTCATTAAATTTAAACATCGATGTTATGCATCAAAAGGATGCAGACTCAATCGTTCCCACTTTCCTCTTGACTAAAGAGTCAATAAGTCAACAGTCAACTTTAATACAAAGTTACCTAAATACTATGAATATATAAGTGCCCCTCCACTTTTCGCTTTTGCAATTTAAACTTCCTTGATCTAAATACTTTTAGTATAGGAATATAAAAACGTTTTTGGTACGTAACTGATTAAAGATTTTCAGGCTAATTGTTAAAAAACGGCATCCGCTCTCTGAATTAAAAAAAAATCAGTATGCAATTTAGCTTCCAGAACTTTGACTAATGTACGCTTTGCTTTTTAATTCTACAAAAGGTTCAAAAATGCAAAACACTTGAAAACAGATTCATAATGTTTAGATAAACACGTACCAATAAGTGCTGATCTCTTGAGTGCATAGTACCAGTCACCAATTTCATGTAACGATCTGATTTACATGGTGAGTTCACAGAACAACATTGTTTTACAGACAACTTTGGTGAAGAAGCAAATGACGTACAAGTATAACCATGGTCTAATGCAAAAGAAAGCAACCAACTAAGGCGGGATGTAGTTGCGCTCGCTTCCGGATATAAAGACTGTGGTGGTAAACGTTGTAAACATTCAACAAAAAACAAGCAGGCTAAGGATCTTGACTCAGCAAGAGATGATCCGAAATGATGTCCATGCGAATGACTTTCCACAAGCGGTTCATCAGTTGAGTTTACTGAAGCTTGATGAGCATCTGTAACACCAACATTAATCCACCAATTACTAGGAACTGTCATTAAACTGTCCAAAGCCTACAAAAAAAGAAATTCAACATAAAACCAGAAAAATCTCAGTATGAAAAAATTATTAAAACTGAGTTTCAGTTAGGATTCTTTAAAAATGAAACAAGTCTTTAAATCTGAGAAAAAATATATATATACCTGCTTCGGTTTGGGCGCCCGGGCAGCATCTCAGCCCTCACAAAGATCGAATAATTTAAGTGGCGCATATATACTCGGTGCCTCATGGTACCAATGTTTATGTGTTTAAATAAATAAATTGTCAAGTGGAAATCCTAAGTCTGTGAAACATCTGGTTTAGAAAACTTGAACCCAAATTATGCAAACATTTTTAAGGATAATCAATATGTAACATGAAGTGTGACGAATGACTAAATTCGAGTGAAATCTTTTAAAACTAGAAAATCAAGTAAGTCTTGAATATTAAAAATGATTATACGTTACTGGTAGGTAAATGTTTAGTCGACATTTAATTTACAAATATAATGGGTTAGGCTGACTATACTATACTTGCTAATCGCAATTTCAATAACACATAAATATTGAGCATAGTTCACAAGGTGAATAGCGTGGTGTCATATATAGCAACTAGGCGATTATGCTCTAACTGATGGGTCATTATATTTATTAAGGAATTTTTAATAAGCATTCTACAAAATAGTTAAGAGTTATATATATGGAAATTTACCCTCATGAATTCCCCTGGATAATGGTAGGCCAATAATTTGGTTAAACTCCTCAAACAAGCTAGACACTGGCGTGAAAATCCTGAACCAAAAACGGTACTATGTTTTGACCTCAGGGAACCATCCGTCTTGCCACTTTTCAAATTATAGAATGAAATTAGCTTCCCAGTAAATTGAACTAAACCAGCCTCCATGGTACGATTTAGATCAACAAAATTTCGGCTAACCAAATGTTTATGCGACTTTAGGAAAGATTTGTAATTCATTTTAGTAAAATCAATTAAAATTGGAACTGGTTGAACATTTGCAGTTAAACTTGTCAATTTAGCAGATAATAAGTCGAGAGCTTTCCGACGAAGTCCACGGTTTTCACAGGAGAATAAATCTAAGATCATGGAAATGAATACTCGACCAGGCACTGAATCCAAGATCTATGTACAAAAATAAAAATTAGATTAATAGAGAAATTAATATCATATGTTATCCATAAAGACAATAAAAAGTAAAACCATTGTAGAACAAAAATATACTAAAATAAATTGAAGACCAATTTGTAAAGCTTTTTTAAATAAAAATGTACATGAGATGAGCTTACATATATCAGCGCTATCAATTACAAATCTGTTCAAAATTTCTATTTACTTAGGATCTTTTATCTAAATAGAATTCCCCAACAAAAGAGTACACCACATTATATAAGTTAACTTTCCTAAATGTTACAAATGTTCGCTGACTGCTTGATCTTCAGTAATTATTTGTCAAAGTAAAGAATACATCAGAAAGTCCAAAACTAATATAATTTTGAGAAATTAATTAATCATGCGTGTAACATCAAAATATTTATTCATATCACAAACAAAGTCAAATTAAAGAGGAAGAATGTATTTGTAAAATCTCAGCGAAAGATTTGAAGTAAATCCAACGTTTCACCTGGCAACCTGATCCAAGTTTTTTCAAGGAAAATAATAAATTGTTTCAAGATGAGCATTACTGAGTCACGATAAATTTCAAATTAAAAGAATGGTTCATATATAGTACTAATTGTTAAATACCCTTCATATTGAAGCTTTAGTTTACTTGTGTCGAAATAAACACGATTCGAGATTCGATTCACAAATTTTGAAGATCTTGGATTTATTTTCATCAAACTATTCCGAATTTATTAAGGAAAAATGTTGATATCGAATGTATTCGTGAACGTAAGTTCTGAATGTTGATGTAATCCCTACATCAATCCCACCAAAAAGGACACGAACATGAATTCCCTGTGAATTATTAACCTTTAATAATTAATCATGCGCTCTGTGCTTTGGCATCATGGGTAACAGTGAATACTTTACTGCACAAAGCATTAATTACAGTTCGGCATATGAGTTAGTATAAATAAGACAATTAGTTTAAGGGTTGACGTCCTCAAAACTATGAAGAAGAAATCAACGTTATACACGACAAGCAGTACAACACACTATAATGAATTAGATTTTCTGGTACCTAAAGATTACCAATGATTATTTATTTAATATTAACTTGATATGAAACCGATTAAAAATAGACAATGAAAAGTTAAAATGTTGCAGTATGAAAGATGTCGATTTTATTTTAAACTCAATACTAATCAGCAGAAATAGATGGTGGCTAGGAGTGAGACCTACGAGGGGCATCGCTTCATCCTATTTAGGAGTCGGCAGCTGGATGCGCCTGTATCCGCGTTAATCTTCACCCTGGGACTCGAACCGAGTACCGTTCTCTTCAAACTCCGTCGCGTTATGCACTTAGCAGACCAAGAAGCAGAAACCAACAGAGATGCTTGCTGCTATTCAATTATGGCAAAGCCCCTTTGCAAATTAGAAATATATTATCTAATGACAGTGGAATAGATAAAATACTAACCTGTACTAAAATTGATTGCAAACCGGACAATGTTTCATCAGCACAAGAGACTACATCCGTCATTTTTTCATCGGATTTTTTTACTTTAGTCAAGAAAGTAGCCACAACGAGCATTAGCTGAACAATATGTTCCACTAATCGACCATAAACAGCACTTAAACCTGATGGATCGCTAAAAGCTGTTTGAACTTTATTACAATAATCAGGATTTCTTATTAGGGCTACAATAAACTGTATAGTTCGATTGACTAAGGGCCATATTTCCTTCAACGTCACAACTGTAGAATTGTTCAAAGATGTTTGGATTTGTTCACTTGTTTGAATTGTGTTATGTGAATTGAAAATAAAAGACGCGAGTTGGCCGAAAGAAGTCGGCGTGTTCGGATCAACGTCGTTTGGCAGAGATCCGGTGGCACCAATTGATAAGTCGTTGGTTGGTGATTTGCTGGGATTCGCAAATGACGAACTCAATTTTAGTCGCTTTTGAGAATGACCAATTTCAATGTAGACATTACCGTTGTTCTCTGAAACGTCAACCTACAAAATGAAGACAATAAAAATTAAGGGAGAAGGCATAATAATTGGAATAAAACAACTGTAAAATGAGAAATGTAACATTCTTTTCAGACAATAAATCAACCCAATCTACAAAGCTCCCAAAACTCCTCATGCGGTCAACATCATCCATTTTACAGGAACAACGAACACTGGCTAGTGTAAACGACTGAATATTCATCAGTGTCAAAGTTTATGGCCTCTCAGTTCTTATTCTTAAATACTCTTCGTATGGTATACAGACCGTAACTATTAAGGTGTCATACCGTCTTACTACAAAAAGTAACAACTAATCCTTAGTACAATGAAAATATTTACCAGCAATATTTTGAATTCACAGACTCAAATGCATCACAGATGATTGCTCCCAAAATATTAGGAAACAGAAAACCATTGAGGAAACAAAATTACACAGGAAGGACTCTAACAACGGACATACTTTTATTTTCTTCATATAGTTTACAAATCGCAGACCTATATGTAATTTAAATTTTTAGTAAAAATAATGTGAGTGATCGTGCTAGAAAAATGACCCAACAACGAAAGTAGAACAATCATTAAATTAAAATATGAAACCAAATTTCAGAGTGAATTAACATCACACATCGGACTTTAAGTGTTCTTTCGACAGATTGAATATCTCTACCGTGCTCTTCTTTATTGTGGTAAGCGAAACTGAGATATTGTAAATGCATGGAAACGAAACCTTACTTATAAGAACTTTTTAAGACTTACTTGAGGAAGCTTATAATCACAAGAATTCATACACAAATATGTCAGAAAATCTATGCATTCACATAGTCCAAGCACTTGATGATCCCATCCAAAATGACAGAACAACTCGATAAGAAAAGGTCCAACTTCATCAGCTAAAAACGATATTTAAGAAAGATAGATTACACATATTATTAATTAATACAACCTTGGGAAATTGTTTACATTTACATTATTATTCTGAGCTACAAGTTTTTCTAATTCATTACGTAATGAGTAACGTAATTACTCGGGTGAACGAAACTAGACAATGAAATCCTGAACTTATTTTAAGGATCATGAGAAAGTCTATTTCCCCTGGAAATTGCAATTGTCGACACTCACGGACCATATAAAGTAAAATTCTCCAGGGAAAATATCTTTGAGAAAAAGATCCGAATGTAATTCTTTCTAAGTTGAGTAGTATAGACTAAAACTAACCTGGAATACTTGTGTATGTATCTATCCACTAATAGTAACAACTATGTGTATGTGATCGGACGATAAGTGCTGGTAATAATAGGCTAACTCAAAGATTATAATGATTAAGATATACCAAATAGACAAAGCTGAAACCGTAAATACTATTTATAACTATCGAATTTCTTTATGTACCTGGAATGACAAAAATTGAAATCAGACTTATAATTTTATGATGACTATTGTCAATAATCACAGTTTATGAAGGATGACTAAAGATGTTTTTGAGAAATTGGAGCAAAATTAAGTTGACGAAAAATAGGAACCAAAAATACTATTCAGAACCTACCAACTGATTGTATTTGCCAATCTTTGTTCAAGAATACAAGTGATGTGACCCACAACCAACTTCCAATCCAACTTTCTTTAGGCCGTAATGAGATTTTACATTCACTTCCACGTGCAACCCCCTCAACTTTTTTGGTTGGTTTTATTTCATCTGTAATTTGTTTTTGTGTAATAGACTGATTTAGTTCACTATCTGTTATGAATGGTCCCGTTACTTGGGACAAACCACGAATTAGAACAGTGTAAAGTGCTAAGCGACGCCGAGCCAAATTAGTGAACTCAGCAAATCTGATAACAAAGAGATAAAGCACATAAAGACCAGCAGAAATTTGCTCAGAAGACGCTCGAATAAGCGCTGGAACAGTTACCAATATTAGACGTCCCAAAATACTAAGATTATGAGCATTATCCAAACGCATAAGCTGACGATTGCACGCAACCCATTGCACCAAGGATACCAAATGGTGACATAATGCACCCTAAAAAATTAGCATAAAAAGTAACCGTTAAAAAAAGTAAAAGTAAAATGAAAATAACTTAACTATACTTCGCTGCTAAAAAACAGTTTTAATGCAATAGAATATTTTATTGGATATTGTTGGTCAGTCAATCGCTGGAAATGTAATTTATATATCCTATATGTTATAAAATGAGCTTGTTAATAAAAAAAACTATGTCGCTAAAAGGTATTGTTGCTTTAAAATATATTTAAATACAACTATAGATAGGTGTGAACACCACGAACCTATTTCACGAGAAAGTCAACAAAAACAGATGTAATTTCTATTTAATCTATACAGCTATTTAAATATCTTTCTAAGGTTTTCACTAATTCTAGAATACAAATTCAGTTAGGGGTTATTGAGTCCTTTGAAAAACATCTATGAAGACAACTTAATTTTAAAAACCTGCAACAGTAACCACTGGCCTAATAGTAATGATAAACAACATTGTGAGTGAAAATTCTATTGTTTAGTCTAACAGATATTCACTGTTAACATCAATAAGTTGATTAACAAATCCTATTATTATGACACACAAACTACCAATTATAAATGCAACACAAACTTACGGGAAACATGACAGATAGTTCAATAAAGCAAAGCAGAACTTGTTGATGCAAGGATATCCAGTCAGGGTAAACAGTGAGGCAAAGGAAAATTGGATCTACAGCAACTTGTGCAGATGTTAAACCATAAAGTAAACCTGTTTGGTCCGTTGGTGTTTTCCGATGAGAACGTTTTCTACGAGGTCGCTTACAACGATTTCCTTCGGCAAATATAGTTGTGATGCAAATCAGAAGTTTATAAATGCACTGACGTAACAGTGGTCGAATACAAGAGTCTTCATTAACGGGCGACATGTCTGCTGCTTCGTGATCCATATGGATATCAGACAAATCATCAGGCAGCGATTCTAGATCACTATCTGTATCAGACACTGGGAGAACATTTGTTTGATTTGTATTTGCTTCTATTTGTTTCAAATTTCGCTCCATGTTTAATAAGCTACGAACATATAAAATATCAGGATAACATTCATGATAAAACAAACAGAATTCATAAACTTATTTTGTCATTCTCGACAGATACTATTCCCCAAATTGTGATAAGTTTAGTGTCATTTAGCTAAAATAAATGCTTTGATTACTTTTACGACAGTTACCTACAAAGAATATTACAGTGACTAACCTTTGCTTTAAGTACAGGAAGTAACTAAGTGGTAAGTACATTCTTCAACAAAGGTAGACGATTTTAGACAGTTAGCATGCTTTAGTAATAAGAGCTTAGGTTATCTTGTTGATATTACGGACTTAATCGCGACTAGTCTTTGTTGACACATGTGGATCCTGTGCGGGTCGTTTCAATATTACCATTTGGTCCACAAGTATTTTTAGCAAAGTTGGTTAGTTAGTGGCTAGTAGCAGAATCTAGGAAGAGTGTTTCATTTTATTTGAGACTCGCTAGATGGACGTACTTGTACTCTAGATTGGAGGTTTACACTACGACTCGAACTCATTACTTTTCGTTTGAAAATATGCGTCACCTACTGAACTACTAAGTCTAAATACCAATAACCTATTCAACGGACATGAATTTTACATCATTAGTAAGAAGTATTTGAGTTATACCCTTGTCTATATTACGGAATTATTAGAAAGACTTTTGATTAACTCCCACTCATAATAATATGTGAACTGGATTAATAAGTGATATAGTGCTTTTCGTATAATAATGCGTTATAAGGAAATGGTCATTTTTCTGTACGAGAAAAAAAAACAAAATACTTCTACATTTAATCTAATACATTAATTAATTAAAAACCAAAACATACTAATCATAAAACCAAAAATCATAACACCCATCTAGCGTTGTGATGCAAGAAAATGAGTTTAAAAGTGAAATTAAATATCTAACAATATCCAACCCTATATGCTACTCACCTTGTAAGATGATTAACTAATGGAGTGATCAGATCATTCATCGGCAAACTGTGATCTTGTATTTTCTTTACGCCAATATTTGGTGATTTTGTATCTACAACTGTTAATGATGTATTCAAATCAACAGATTTCGATTTATTCTGAACCGTAGATGCAATTTCATATGATTGTAACCGTGGCACAGCTTCAGTTAAAATAGACAGTAACATACTAAGAAATCGTAAGCGAATTCTTTCTGAATAGGCTTTCTTATCATCATTTAATAATTCCAAATCAGCCTCCTTGGTTTTCCGTAGTCGTAAACTACGTCGACGAGATTCGCTATATTAAAATAGAAAGAAACACATTTCAAATAGATTTGCAACTTGTAAACATGATCATCACTAAGCAAAGAGTTAAGTAAGAAAATGAACAAATTAACAATATTCACAAAATGTAATGGCAATTAAGTATCAAACATTTGAAAACATACAATGACAACATTAACATACTAGTAATCGAGTTTAAGATCAAATCCGATAATAAATACCATATATGACATATAAAAAATCTAACAGACAGAAAGCATGGCTGAATTGACTAATCAAAAGTGAATCTTACGCATAACTTACACAGAAATGAATGATTACTCATTCGTCAACAATTCAAAGATAATTTGTAATAGGTACTTTGAATTGTGGAACAACTACATAAAATAATAAGTATAAACAAACCCAACTACTACAGTTTGAACAATTTTATAATATTCATAACCCTCATACAGTTAACTAAATTATATTAATTTACTTTAATAAATAAGCATATCAAAGCACAACACCAAAACAAAAAGAATAATTACCGGGCTTCAGTAACTCGAGCAAATAATGACCTGCTGTCGCCACCAACTGTTCTTGACGGGTCTGATTTGATGAACATATAATCGAAATGGACTGCGTTTAGATGAAGCTGAAATAAAATATGATAACAATTAATCAAGTTTATCAAAAAATGAACATCAAACTTATGAATATGCAAAGTGTATCATTAGTCTATAATATATAAGTAATTGTATAACAAGGGTTATGTGTCACAGATGTCTGCTGGTTGGCTAGAGGCTACTGAATTTATTACATGTTTTAAGTAAGATGTAGCTTACATTTAGTAGGTGATGTGATATAGGGTTTCTGATTTCATAAATGGATGAACGTGTTTTGGATTGTTAAAATTGATAAACAGAATCATAACCAGCAGATAAAATGAAATGATACGATGTGACCGAGTAGAAGCCATTCATAATTACTGAACAATTGACCTAAACTATCAGATAACCTGAGCTCAAAGACAAGTTCGTTAGACAGAAGAATAGATCTTTGATCTAATCAAACAACATCCCTACACACAAAATATTACCACGAAAATAAACATGATTAGATTTATTAAGCGATTGAAGAATATCAGTTCTATAGGTAGTTCACTCAAATACAAAATGATAATTGACTAGTAAAATTAATTCCTACCCACCATATACATCATGGTGGTAGTATTGCAAACAAGAAATACAGACTATTGATTAGCTCTTAATTTGCTTCAGTAAATGTCATTGATAATTCATACCTAAATTACTAAAGCTGTAGACATCACAATACTCAAATATGATGTTATTTTCTCCATAATTCACCTACATTAACTTAGATGTGATCGAAAACAATAAAACAAGCCAAAGAGGATTTTCAGCGTTTTATTAACTATGTTATATGTGCTTTTAAAGGGTACAATAGACGTGACCCAACAACCAGTGACTGTGCAGAAAGTTTGCATGTTAGGCTATGGTCAATGTCAATAAACAACGACTGCAAATAGACGCATTAAGTTTTTATTATCAATATGTATGATTTTTTTCATGCATACAACTTTTACTAGAGAGTGCAACAAAAGTCAGACCACAACCTTGAAAACATATTTTAAGCTAGCAAGAATTTAGATCTTGAACAGCACAGTTTCCCTAGAAATAAAACTACAGAATTCCAATAAAACTAAGTTCATAATTAAGGCATTCGAACAAAAAACCGATAAAATAAACAATTGTTCTCATTTTACGAAATGATAAGTCTATTTAAGTGCTTTTTCCAACATAATTTACTCTTAAAACCAAAATATTGAAAGTGGAACTTACACGAGAAAATACTTTGTGAACGGAATCGAAATCAGTCTGCACATTATTATGACCAAGCTTATATAAAGCGTCAAGGATACTAAATTGGGGTCCCTGATAAGGATCTGAGCTTGACACATTTTTATTGAGAGTTTGCAAACAGCCAGTTGATTTCCGCAAAATCGATGTTCTCTCTTTAATAGAACCCATTGAAAGAGGAGAATGTTCTAAAGATGCAAATAATGCTGGATTAAGACGTGACAAACATATATGATGTAAATCGATTAAATGAATATTGGAGCACTGTATCAAATTTAGAAATCCAGACCAGCCTCTGACAAATTCTTCATTTGGACTACTGGGAATAAGAAGAATATCACCGACGGTATCCTCATTTAGTAAACGTAGGCCAATCTTCCAGCAAACTATGGAAAATTTACTTTCTGAGCAAGCCTCCGAGGTACCCAAGTTCAATGTTTGACTGCAAATCAATAAAACAAAAAAGTAAACTAAACAAGATATCATAACATGAGCGATTTCGATCTAAAACGCTATTATTGAGGAGACTCCTAAAAGTTATCTGTAATATGAATCAATCTTATTGGCTTAACTCCTAAGACGCCTACCTCGATAGGCGATGTTATTTGGTTTACGGGTGACCAAACCAAAAAGTGGTACAAGCTCGTGAAGTCTTTGATAGATGGACCGAGTTATGTTGACTGGTGTAGACTACCTGGATGGGGTCCGTGTGATAATCGATGTGTTTATCAAGCTACCCAAAACTAATCGATAACCATTTAAAACTCCGAAAAAATGATCTTAGACATCAAGATGGAATAATTAGACCAATATATATATATATATATATATATATATATATATATATATATATATATATATATATATATATATATATATATATATATATATATATATATATATATATATATATATATAGCGGTAATTAGGACGCTAGATTGTAAAGAAATTCGACTAATCCCAAATATTAGCAGGTGACGACCTAACACATTTACTGACTTCGTTGTGACATATGATTTTCGTTCTCCTAGGACGTTAAAAATTGGAAAACTCTGACAAATGAACTAATTTACTGGATCTTACAGTGGTAATTTTCAGTTGAAGTATATCGTAATGTAATAAATATATCCCTGAAGGACGACACTAACCTGAACAACAGGCGAACAACAGCCTTGATCAGGACAGAAGCTACTTTGTTTAATGAGTAGAGCGGATCGCCTAGGAGCAACTCTCTTACTTCCTCTGGAAACAGCTCATCTATGTGAGCTGAAAAATCCGAAGTCAAATCGAAATTTGAGCAAAAGGTAGAAAAATTCGGCATGCGTTCCAGATCTTTTGATAAATCATTCTTGAGCCAAAAGTGTAAGATATCGTACGCCTCTACGCGAATAGTAGCAGCAGGGTGTGACAAGCAAGCAACCAACAGTGGTAAAACTACAAAGTAAAGATGTTGTTACATTAATTACTATATCCAAAATTAATGTGTACAATCAAAATAAACAGAATAAACAAATACTAAACAATAAATAAAAAGTAGTGTGTACTACACTGCTAAAATGTAAATGGAGAAGTACAACTTTTATGCTAAAGAAGATTTTTGGAGTAAATAAGAGGCACGATAAGTTGATTATGTTTGTATTACAAGTAAGACCCTTTAAGCTAAAATAGATCTCTTAGAAAATTGACATCTAGTGCAATTATAGGACAAGAATCTTTGAGTCAGTCTACCTTGTTATCGGGGACTTAATAACCAGGTTTGCCAATAAAGATTCACAACAAACACAAGAATTTGTTCTTTGAATAACAATGATCAAGTTTTTATCTAGATAAATATAGTAATATGATATATATATATATATATATATATATATATATATATATATATATATATATATATATATATATATATATATAATTTAGTAGGATGGGAAAAACTAACCTTTGTCAATGCCTTTCTGTAACAAACCACATGAAGACGACATTGATTTACGGGAACATTTTGGCTTCGGTGTACCTGATGCAACTACCATCCCCTGAGCATACTTACTGAAATCGACGTGAACCTTTATGGAAGACTTAACCAATCTTAGTAATCGAATATAATGTCGTATTTCTACTTTTTTATAATGTATTTTATGCTGATCAGAATTATTGTTACCAAAACATTCATCAGAAAATATTTCAAGTAACACATCAGATAACCAACACTCAGAATTTGGTAAAGGTCCGCTAGGACAAGATAAAGTGCAATTCATTACACAGCAGCCTACATTAGGAATGCTCGACAAGAATGCATGAATTTCATCGATTTTCAACTTGAGCTCTTCTTTCAATAAAATATCATCAGAAGTTTTTTGTTCCGTTATTTTTGATCCAAGGCTTTTTATATCAACATCAACAAACTAAAAAATATGAAATAAAGAACCCACATTAATAAATGATATAGTGTACAACATACTCATTGTATATTTACTAACAACAAATTGAGGTAGTGCAGTGATATGTTCTCTGAAACTAGAATAACTGATTTTGAAAACTTTTACTGATTACGCGATATTAGGAATAAACAATTGAAGAATGATAACCGTCTTCGCTTGTAATATACATCAGACTAATTCATTAGTACTTAGAAATCACAAAGAACAAACTATAAAGAAAGTAGAATATTTTTTCATTGAAATTACCAATATGATCAACGAAATAAAAGTTAATTGAAAGTTATCTAAAAATCAATAATGAATAACTTTGATGGAACTATTTGCAAGAAATTTTATTTAAGGGAAGTTGATCATAAACCAATAGTGAATCAATAGAATTTCCTAACTTAATATTGTTAATTTAATTAATCAGCCTAATATATAAAATTTGTTTAGATTTCGATAAAATTTGAATAAGAAAGTTAATAACATTAAATTTATAAATTTGCATATCAAACCTGTGTAGCTTTTTGAATATAATCAAACTTCTGCATACACTCTGCCGCTAACTTATTAGGATCATTATATTCACTGACTAGCGCCGACTGTTCTTCTTCAATTATGCGTTGTTCTTCAGGAGATAGTTTGGAAAGTAAGACATTCTGACGCTCAGTAAGTTTTGGAGGTAACAAAGGAATACGCTGATTTCGCATTAGTTGGATTACAATACGCATTGATTCCCACTCACAAGAAGGTCGAGTTTTCTTCAAAATACAAGATATCCAATCGAGAACTAGTTCTCGATTAATTAACAACTTCAAACTGAAACGTATTACGACCAAAAATGTGGCGCATTGAAAAGGAACTATATTTGTAGATTGCAATCCATGTTTTATAACATCCTGAAAAGAGTCCAATATCTTGATAAGTTTTTTCTCATGCACACCAGAATCGCACAACGCGGTTACAATTCCCAAAAAAAAATTAGTCATATCGTTAAGTCTTGTTGGCACCAAATCGCGACAACACTAAAGATAAAAAAAGCAATATTTTAACACGTAATCGAAATTAGAACTGACTAAAATTCAGAAAACAGAGAAAACATTAAGTGTAAAATAGTAGCAAAAGAAATATAATTTTTTAAAACTTAGTACTCAATATTATTATTCTCATTATAACCGAAATTAATTAACATTGAGAATATTAAGTGAATGCTTAGACCAGTAGGTTGTTTGACATGCAATTTATTGCAAAACATGAGTAATCTGAACTAAATAAATTTTCCCAATTAAGATAACATTTGTCAAGTTTATCACTGTATTTGAGTGTACACCGAACCCTCTAGTTTACATACGAGCAACAATAAACTCTCTACTTACAACTATTTTAGTTGTAATTCCATTGAAGTTTAATGTACATAAGCCAAATTTTATATGATTAGTACATACGAACTGTTAATAATTAAAAATAAACTACACTAAAACGATTCACACTGGATGTATTCAGTTTCAGTCAATAGAACAGAAAGAAACTCAAATATGTGCTAGAAATCAGTGCAGTATGAACGTTTTTAACATGAAAAGTTCAAAACAAACTATGGAATCAGAAGTTTCTTGAGCAATAAATAAAAATAACCTTAAAAATTAATTTACCGCTTACTTCCGTATAATTAAGGATGGTTGTACATATAAATGGAATAAGGGTATGTTCTCTGATACATAGTCGAGCGAATTCTTGCCGTGATATGCCTTTACCACTTTCCTGCAAAAAATTAAACGTATGTTTGACATGACACCAACAAAAATAGATGTGTGGCAGTTAATCAAATAACAAACGAGTAGAGCATGCTCAGCCAAATAGTAGTGATTCCATTGAAATAAAGCTGTGATCCAAGCTACATTTTAAAACGGTTCATGCTACGAATACCTTTAAGCAAGTGATTAAATAGTTGAAAAAATGACTTACTATGTACTTATGACCGGAATAACAAAAATGATTCCATTCTTGAGATACGTCATTAAAGATTGTGTGAGGTTCAAATGTATTGAATGGTTGCTCAAATGTGAAGCAAATAAGGTTGAAGATTTTGCTTATGAATCACTTAAAATAATTCTTACAAAATCTCACATGTTAGTTGACTACACGCCTCTACTATAGATTAGCTCCGGAAATCTCGAAGGACGATTGTTCAGTTTAGCAATTGAATTGATTGAGATATTACCTAGAATCTGGGATCTAGGTGTAATTCTATCTGATTGTTCTCGGTCCTTGATCATCCCAGTTTACAAAAAAGGATTAGAACCCTCTTGTGATAACCACAGATAGATTAGTCTGACTAATGGTTTTGGAACACTGACGTACCTACCGATAATAATGGCATATATTAACCTAGAGATAACATCTGAATCCCGTGAATTGGGAGGTTCTGTGGCTGCTTGGTAGCAAAAGGGATACCAAAGTACAAACCTAATGAAAGCTCCTTACCCAAAAAGTGCTGATTAAATTAAATCCTATGGAGAACTGTAATTGAAACGATCAATCTCAAGCAACGTCCATCATAGCCGCTCGGTAACTCAAACCCAATCAACTTGAAGATGTGAGGTGAAATGGCTCAGAATCGATCGTCATGAAACTCGCGCAGTAACTCCCTGTCACACACCCCCATATCTTGGGTTTCGAAATTACTGTATACTTTTTTTCAGAAAATTCACTTATTTGTTTCGAGTCATAATCTTTATTCCTAATGATCTTTTACTGTCACTGACACTACTTTAATATTTGTCGTGACAATTTTATCTCACTGTAATGATGCAGTGGTAGTTTGGATAGATGAATATTCGTCTCACGCTTTACATTATGGCTGATTAATAAGGTAGTTAATCACGAGACACATGATCGTAACTTTTAAGATATCTCAGCACTAAAATTATGGACCAATTTGTATCTGCAATACTTATCACACATACCTAAATAGTGAAGTATGTAAACATTATTTCAAATATACAGAGCGTTATAAGATGTATAGTTAACGTGTTAGATCATATCACATACGGATCTACCATAAAAACGTCAGATAGAATCTTCACTCTAACGAAAAATAACAAAGTAGATGGGTGAGAATGGAATGTTGCAATTAAAATAGTAATAACAAAAAGAGAAATAAAAACAATTATCAACTAAGAAACCAATATTTTATGGACATTTTAGCGACTTGCAGGACACTAAACTTCAAATTTTTTCTGATAGACATAAAATAAAGTTTATTAAGACATCATAGTAAATTACGAAAATACGGTATGAAGGAAGGAAAACAAGAAAAACTAACTAACGTACAGCATATGGTTTTAACCACTGGAAACAAGAAGGCAACTGCTGAAAATTTAAAATTTGAATAAATTTAACGAATAGACCAGTTTCATGATATGGAATGATGCAGCGAATAAAATCTTCAACATAATGTATATGAATCTGAAATCTAAACCGTGAATAGAGATGGTCGTAAACCTACTTGAATACTAGCCATTCTAAAGCTTGTACAGCAACAAAATGCTTAAGGAAAGAAGAAATGTAACATAGGAACTTGGAGATTTCGTTGTCGAGTTTTGCTTTTTCTTGACGTAAGAGATTGCACATTTCCAGTTGACATGACGTCACAGAAAACAATGTACTGGCAAATGAGGTAAAAGCGTTTTCCATTTCACACAGTTTTTCAAACGACTTTAAACCTATTTAAAGAAATAACATGTAGAAAATAAACCTACAGCTTGAATAACAAGACTGAGTGTCGATTTTCGAAGCATCTTCATAAATCAAAGACTTGCGGTTAACACTGTCAACTACATAGCTGGATGTAATCGGGACTGCTAAGGCCCTTAACTGGTCTGTTAATGACATCTAAAATGAACAGAAAAAAATTGCTTACAAAGCAGAAAATCAAAAACTAGAATGGTGTACCAATTATAGTCCAATCAACATAATCTATTAGGTACTAAAACAGTACTTGCTTCAATTTAGGCAACTGGGCAGTATTCTAGCCCGTACACAAATCGAACGATTTATGTGGCGCATATCTTTTTGGTACCTTCTTGTACCTATGTTTTTTTTAATAAGTAGATAAATAAAAAAAGTAACAAAAACATGATAACTGAGAGTTGAAGATGTGCATATATTGAGTTTTCGGGCACATATGACTTTGAAGTACTTCGCATATTGACTGAACGCTAGTCAGAAATGTCATGGTGAGATGCAGTTTAGGCTATGAAAAACTGATTGAAACAATGAATTTCTGTTGAGCGTAGCAGGTGAGAAATATGTTAACGATCAGGTGAAAGTGAGGTATGGCAAACGGGAAAACCTTTTACAGCAGTTATGTATACTGTTACAGTTGACCCCATCTACAAAGCCAAATACGGTAGGACGAAGTTGGGAAAAGTCAAAAGCCCTGGTACGGCCGAGAGTGGGGAGAGTCCGCTCTCTCTCTCTCTCTCGAAATACTGTCACACGGCCACGCGTATACAGCCTCTGCCAGGGAAGTCCTACTCACTGCCTTCTCGTGGCGGGGGTGTTGTTTACGAAAATGAGAAGACGAAAAGCGAACGTCCGGTGCTTTAACCGGATTCCAAACCAATGGTGCACATGGGCTCCAGTATCCTGAAGGAACAAATGGCGTATGAACCAATTTTTGGTCACCGGCTACCATGGGATTGCATCTCCTCACGATGCTCCACTGCCTTGTGGATCAAACCCTCATGTCGAAGGCTTGGGGTGTGGCCCCCTAAGAAAGCCACCTGCTTCGGTCTGGGCACCCGGGCAGTATCACAGCCCATGCACAAATGATGAACCCTCTATGTCTATGGAAACTACTTTTCTCGCTTCGAAAAACAATCAATTGATTCAAATTATTATCATTACTATTATCGTCATTATTAATACTATTATTATTATTACTATTATTGTCATTATTATTATTATTATTATTATTATTATTATTATTATTATTATTATTATTATTATTATTATTATTATTATTATTATATGCTACATCATTATTCACCTTCTTTTATTCCTACTATGTTTATACTTATTTTTTCGACTTATACAGCAGCTCGCCTATTGTGGAAATTCGACTCTATCTAAACGTTCTCGAGTCACTGTCCGGTTGAGAACTGTATGTTACCCCCGAATATGAGTACTGAAGCAGTTTTTCTGAAACCACGTGCACTATTCAAACTGGCTGCCTTCAACGTTCGCACACTCATGCAGGTCGGACAACAGATAGGGCTGGCTATGTCTCTGGAAAGTCTTAATATCGATGTCTGCTGTCTATACGAGACCCGTATTCAAGACTCTGGTGAAGTACTACAAATTCGCTCTCCATCTGTCACTTCGAAAAGCTTATTTTACGTGCGCTTATCCGGGGACCCTGTGGCATCTTCGTCTGGTCTTGCTGGCGTTGGTGTCGCACTAAGCGCTAGAGCTGAGGCAGCACTAATCGATTGGATCCCCATTAACAGTCGATTATGTGCTGTTAGATTAGAAAGTTCCATCAAAGTGAGAAGAAATCGGCGTGAGAAACGATGTCTTTCCGTCATCTCCGCCTATGCCCCGACAGATTGCAGCCCGGATGCAATCAAGGATGAGTTTTACCACCAGTTATCTGTTCTTCTCCAGAAAGTGCGTTCGACAGATATTGTAGTACTAGCCGGAGACTTGAATGCTCAGGTCGGGCGTCTAGGCATAGAAGAGAGTCGTTTAGGTGGCCAATGGAGACTCGTTGGTCGCAGGACCGATAACGGGGACTGTCTACTGCAACTTTGCACAGACCACAACCTGTTTCTGGCTAGCACTAACTTTCGGCAGTCATCGCCGATGTGCCACTTGGCGTCCTCCCTCTGCATCCCAAGCCTGGACTCAGATTGATCACATCGCGATCAGCTACCGCTGGCGTGGTTGTGTACAAGACTGCCGCTCCTTTTGGAGTACCTATCTGGACTCTGACCATGCCTTGGTCTGCGCCAATCTTACCTTACTTTTCAGTGGCCAACGAATTGACCGCCACCAACGGATTGATATTAGCAAGTTGGTTGCAACTTCTGTTGCAAGTAAGTATCGAACCGAGCTACCTTCTAGGCTAGCTACCACTCCACCGAAAAGTATAGATGAGCATTGGTTGCAATTGCATGACGCCATGAAAATGGCGGGAACAGTCACTTGTGGGTTCGCGAAACGTCCCGCTTATAAGCACTGGGTTTCTTCAGGCTCCTTACAACTCATTGAAGCCCGTCGATCTTCTCCGGGTGACCGTGAGTTTGACCATAAACGAAGGATGTTACGTAAGGAAATTGGGCAAAGCTTGCGTAAGGACCGAGGAGCCTGGTGGTCGAAGCGTGCTAATGAGCTGGAAACAGCAGCTGCATCTGGTAACTATCGGAAGCTCTTCCAACTCATCCGAGCCACTGACAGCAAGAAGTCTGGTGTGAGTGAAACAATCCGCGAGGATGACAGGATACTAATCACCAACATCCGTGGACGTCTTGGACGATGGGCAGAATTTTTCGAAGGGCAGATCAACTGGCCTGCTGCTCCGGCAACATCGGTCAGACTGTCCTGCCCTTTATGGCCGGTGACGACTGATCCACCTAAGGACGAGGAAATCCGCAAGAAACTCCAACTCTTGAGATGCTACAAATCACTGGGCTCAGATGATTTACCTCTGGCTCTTTTTAAAGATGTTGATTTTTTGTCTAAGGAACTGATAATGTTGTTTACAAAGGTCTGGGAGGCAGTGAGTGTACCAACGTCATGGAATGAGTCGATAGTTGTCCCTATCTTTAAAAAAGGTTCACGTCGTTCCTGTAACAACTGTCGGGAGGTAAGTCTACTTCCGATTGCGTCCAAGCTATTGGCTTCCTTCATACTTCGTAGGTTGTTCAAAACCCGAGAAAGATTGACTCGCGAGGAGAAGGCTGGGTCCCGTTCTGGTCGAGGATGTATTGATCATATCTTCACCCTCCGCCAAATGTTAGAACACCGCCATACTTATCAAAGGCCAACAATCGTAATGTTTCTTGACATCAGGACTGCCTTCGATTCGTTGGATAGGACTGTTCTCTGGGATTGTCTATTGAAGAAGGGTGTGCCTGAGAAGTTTACTAACATCCTAAAAGCCATATATACAAACACCTCAGGCAGAGTGAGGGCATACAACCACTTCTCCATTGTTTCATTCGAGCAGTGGGGTTAGACAGGGTTGCCAAATCTCACCATTCCTCTTCAACTTTGCCATCGATGACATTCTGGAAACAGCTCTGATGAATGTAAGTAATGGTGGTGTGGATCTGTTGCCTGGAGAAAGACTTCTCGACCTTGAATATGCGGACGATATTGTCTTACTGTGCGATAATGCCCAAGGCATGCAATCTGCACTTAATCAGTTGGCAATCAGTGTCCGTAGGTATGGTATGTGCTTTGCACCTTCGAAGTGCAAAGTACTTCTACAAGACTGGCAGGATTCCAATCCTGTACTCACCCTGGATGGTGAGCAGATGGACGTAGTCGAGAAGTTCGTGTATCTGGGTAGCTGCATAAGTGCTGGTGGGGGTGTGAGTGATGAGATCAATGCACGTATAGTGAAAGCCAGAGCGGCTTATGCCAATCTGGGCGACCTTTGGCGCCTTCGTGATGTTAGTCTGGCTGTAAAAGGTCGGATCTACAACGTGTCAGTGAGAGCAGTTTTGCTCTATGCTTGTGAAACCTGGACTCTCCGATTTGAGGACGTTAGACGACTCTCTGTGTTCGATCATCGCTGTCTCCAAAGGATTGCTGACATCCAGTGGCAACACCATGTTAGTAATGCAGAGGTTCGGCATCGTGTGTTCTGGCACAGAGATGATAATGCAATTGGTGTCACCATCTTGAAATACCGACTTCGGTGGCTTGGACATGTTCTCCGAATGTCTTCCCAGAGAATTCCACGTCGTGCATTATTTGCCGACTCTGGGACTGGTTGGAAGAAGCGGAGAGGTGGTCAGTGTATGAAATGGTGTCGTGGTTTGAAAGAAAACTGAGAAGGTCTGGCTTGTGTTGGTCCTTCACGACTCCTTGGCTGGGGTTTGAGAGATGATGCAACACAATGGCTAGAGACGTTATCAGATATGGCTCAGAATAGAAGCCAGTGGCGATCCTGCTGTAACCTTTTACTTTCTTCATAAAAAGTCGTTGTGTCTCCCTTACCTGAAAGATTTTTTCCGACTGCACCTTTCCGTTCCCTCATTACTACCACACTACCTTACACCAATCTCTTCGCCATTGTTCTTTTTTTTGCGCTCCTTAGCTTTTTTTCCTATTTCTCTTCGAATTCTCATTGTTTTGTGTGGCACATATATATTGGCGCTCTCTTGTACCAATATTCATGTATTCAAATAATAATAATAATAATAATAATAATAATAATAATAATAATAATAATAATAATAATAATAATAATAATAATAATAAGTCAAATAAGCTCACTGAGAGGATTCTTTGTGATGCTATTATTAACTGGTTAGATACCTTATGATCAAATGATCACTCCGAATTATTCACTTCTATGCTCCCACTAAATACCAAACAATATACTTTTCTTTATCTCCCCTAGTTCTTGCATCCCGAAATATAACTATGCCATTTTTCTTCACGTAGTCTTTTATATTACCACATATACTGTTACTTTTACGACTATTGGATTTCTTGGTAACCTTGTCTCGCAATCCTAACGTTGCATGTCAACTTTCCCCGAATACTCTGTGTGGGAAGAGTCCCTTCTCCCTCTTATATGGCTACGCGTATACAGCCACTGTCAGGGAAGTCCTACTCACTACCTCGTGGTAGTGGTGTTACTTACGAAATTTAGAGGTTAAAAAGCAAATGCCCAGTGCTTTAACCGGGTTGGTGGGCAGAGTGAATCCAAATAAGGTAGCTAGAAAACCTTGATTCCAAACCGATAGTGCACATGGGCTACAGGATCCTGAGGGGGCAAATAGCGCACGAACCTAATGTTGGAACCGTATATACTAACGTTGCTTCACTGCAATGTGAATTAGATTTCTGGGTGTTAGCGGGACAAAGACTGGATTAAAGCATGCTCAATGCACGGTTGCTTTGGTGCACGCTGATCGGCTAATTCGGTTTGGGCACCAGAGCAGTATCACAGCCCTCACACATATCAAATGAGATTTATGTGGCTCAGATCTATTTGGTGCCTCCTTGTACCAACATGTGTTCAAATAAATAAATAAAATAAATCCAATTAGCACTAGTCGATAGTTGGAGAATACTCTAGAATCTTCTCATGTAAAAACTATAAATATACTGACGTTTTCCCTATTGTACTTCTTACGTGCTTCTTACTTCCGTCTAACCTTGTTATTTAGAGTATAATCTCTTTCCTGTTCAACCGTGTTTTGATTTGGGGATTTGTCAAGTGGTTTGGTGTCCAAGAACACTAGCAATAGGAATAGCTGGGTCATACCGTAAGAAAAAGAGATTATAACACTAGGTCAACGGTTCGAGGAGTGTCTTCCTAAGAAAACCGGGAAAGTATCCCAGCCCACACACACTGAATGACAACGCCATTGTGTGGCGCATATATATTTCGATGTGCCTTTTTACCAATGTGTTCAAATCAATAAACAAATATAAAACCTGAATTGACGCACACGTCAGGCTTTACACGGTATATGACTGACTGATTCAATTACTCGGCTTTAGTAGTCACGTTATTTGTCGTAAAATTTATATGTAAACTTATCAGCCTGATACACTTTATTTTCAAGGTTCTACATTGATGTTAATTTTGGTTCATAAACAACTACCACGTACACGAAAAGCAATAGGTAATACAGTAGGAGACGACCTTCGAACCATCCACTAATCATGAACCGTAATAAGTGATAGGAATCTCCCTAATTAAATTCATTTGAAAATGAAGGCATTACTGTTCAAAAAAGTAAAGTATTTGGTAGCCAAAACATTGCCGCATTTGGGATAATTTCCAAGTGTAAAATGTGTATTAATATGATTGACTGGACGGGTCAAGTATCAATGTACAACATAATAATTCACCCCCTTCTGTCGACAAATCAGGTCCTGTGAGAACCAGTACGTGTACTATATGCATTCTCTTTAGGCTTAGTGCGAAGTGATCTACCAGCATCACTGAAAAACTGTTAAGTATCAGTTACCGCGAAAAAGGAATGAAACCACTGAAATAATGCATATCACTGAAAAATCGTACGTCGACTGAACAGTAAAATAAGTGCTAGACGAGACACTAATGGAACGATTGTATAAACTGTGCTGGTGACAAAAATAAATGGAACAAAAGAATTTGGGACCACAGTCTTGTACACTCAATCGATATATTAGGTTCTAAAGACTACAACATAAATCTTGACTGAAGACCACCACATTTACTTACCTTTACTTGATGAAAACATTTATTACCTCTTAAAATGATATCATTTGAACGACCAAACCTGTTGAGTGCGGCAGATTAATACCTTAATTACTCCAAGTATCAAACAAACTAAACACCTGTGAAGCTGAGTGTTCTGCATATATATCCACAAGTTATCGTGTATTTAAATGTGTGGATAGGATTTAACAGCTGACAGATGGACCTCTAAAAACAAGACTAAAACTAGAGTGATAATTTGACGAGTAGCACTTTTTTAGGGATTTGTGCATTGTCCGCTATACACCAAAATATATTTATTCTATGAACCTTAAAGGCATATCTTATCCACTTCATCAATTCTTACAACGGCAAACAGTCGTGAATTCCAGTTTAACCGATTCGAAGTCCGATGGCAAATAATGAGTATAATGTGACTTAATTGCGTGAATTTTACATTTGCCAAATCTAACCGGTTCAGTTTGAGTAAACTAGTTAGCACTTGAGGACTAAGTTGGATTCCGAGCTTACGAAATGTATGGTAAGAGGATCTGCGTAACAATTTGGAGTTAATGTCGGTAAGTGCTCAAAAGCTACCATGAAGAACAAGGTGATGGGTACTCATACATAGGGCTATTAGATTTGAAATCTCGAACAAAGCTAGATAAATACTAGAGCAGAATAGTATAAATTAGTTTTAGTTTATTTGGTTCTCGTCATCTGCCTGCCTGTGATATTAAGAAATCAAGTATGAAATCGCTTCAGGTTACTTACAAGTCAGAGTCTAATTGGAAGTTGCCATGATCACATCAGTATAGCATAACAAGTATGTGAGTAAATTTAACAGATTAAGAAATATTTTTAGATAGATATCCTGTGTCATGTCTTGATTTTTGACAAACAATGGTGAATATCTGGCTAACTCTTACCTTAAAAGTTCACAAGGGTTGATAAAAAGGCTCTGTCTTAATAGAAATGCCAGGTGACCACGCGTAGGAAACAAAACCCGCGGTACTGCGTTACAAGTCACATGGGTAGAAAGGTTTTCTTAATCATAAAGTTGTTCCCTAGAATATAATAAGAAGGATAGAAATTATTGCAGAAACTCTCGTTACAACAAACCATATCCCTTTGTGTTTTAACCATCCATAAATGAATCAGCATTCGGGTTAAAATTACAGTAAGATAAGAGAAGGGGCTTCCGTCCATGGATAATGGTAAGCTCATTTTCAAAAACTTTAAAGTAGTAAAAGGGTTTCTAAAACCACAAAGTGTAATGATGAATGATTCATATCCTTCCTTTGAAATAGCATAGCCTCCACATTTACCAACGGTTAATCTAATATAATTAGATTAAGAAGTTACTACTTGGAAAATAAGAGACACGATCTACCCGTGAGCTTTTTTATTATAAACCAAACTTTGTGGAAACAGTCATTTACTAGACAAATTCTAAACCGGGTATTCTAATGCCAGATTCGTAATCATAAGAGACCTATGCACACATCATAGACAGAATAATTCTAAGGACGACTCCATCAGATAACTATGTAGAGGGAATCTGTGTTGTCTCCTCGGGTGCAACATTCAGCGAACACGACAACGTGCATTCTAGATTAGGTGTCATCAGTGCATGGGCTCATCATATGTAAGATTCTCACTGGATTTACCACTATTCAATAAAATTGGTCAAGACATACCATTAATCACACCCTAGATGGCTTTCATGGGGAATATGTCCGCTCTAACTATATCAGATGTATGGAAAGCAGGTACTCAGATGATTGTATGCTAAGTGTTATTAACAGATTAATCTACCTAGGCAAAACCGCCATCAGACTCGACTTGAAAGTATGTAAAAAGCTTGACACAGTAGGTACAAAAACTTTTATACTCTGGGCCGAGAAACAAGGAAGGGTGTAAGACAAAAAAGTAAAGTAGATTTATTTCAGATCACTAAGATCTAGTGAGCTAGAATTTCATTACTGACAAGCCATATACTTGAAAGAGATCTTGGAAAACTTAGAAGGTAGTCTGAAGTAAGTGATGTTAGTGACCATATGAAGTGCACGAAGTTATCATTTTCATGTACATGTCGGAAGACTAATTTGCGCAATGTGTGACAGAATTGAATGGCGACATTCCTATACTGCTACTGGTCTATGATGACTCTGACAATACCACAGTATTGATCAAGGTAAATAAAATAAAGGCACCGTTCCATCATCAACAGTCAAATGAATCTAGCTACACCCTTAGTGCAGTGATTTTCAGAAATCCAATTTCCTAATATAAATGAATAATCCTGATCTGACAGATTTCCACCACTGCATCTCACAATACAGCAAACTGAATCAGGGCACCGGACATACTATAGACACAACGTGTGATGTAAATTTAGGTCCCTTTTCGGAACATTAATTGACATTTTTTAATTTCCATTTTTACATATTATGACATTGTTCTGATGTTGTCAGATATTTTCTTTCAAGTTTTCTGGCATATTTTATATTCATCACGGCGGAATTGACTCATAAGTTATTTGGGATTAACACCTCCTCGCCTTCCTTAGTTCAGAGAACGATATTCACAACCGAAAATATAGAATGCTGCTTTTACAATGCAGAAGCCGATTTTCTCGAGCGCAGCATTACAGACCCACATGCACAATTTCTCCAAGTAGTGAAAAACACTACCGCACGGTTTCAACAGATAAGTTTCACCTGGCATATTTACTAGCGATGTTTTAGAAACTTATTAAGCTTTAGGTATAGTTATTTTTAGACGTGGAGATGTAACCATTTTCGACACATTTTTGACTGGCTTTTCCACAACATCGAGTTGCGATATCGCTCAGCAGCAGAGATGTTATTGCGTATGTAAAGGGTCATTGGTCAATGGACCATTGACTAGTAGCTGTTCAGACAGCTCTTGGTGTCTAGGTTTCCCCAACAAGTGCAGGTTGTTCTCGTCTCAGTTCAAAATAACACTGTAGAAGAAAAGCCTCAAACAACACAAAATTGTGTGACACATTTCTACTAAACTTCTACTTGTTATCCTAATATTCGTCATGTTCTTAGACGCTTTCAAACCCCTCAGAAGATATCTCTATGAAAATGGTCTGTCTTTAGGTAACGAGAGACAGATAATCCTAATTGATGCTGGTACTACAATAAATATAGTAAGCCCTCTAGAAATTGAACAGAAGCTTGCAGATTCCTAAGCTCCAGATCAATTGACACGAAAACTGCTCTTCGGCACGCACCAACGTTTATCGTAGCCAGCGAACATAGCCGTTTACTAAAAATCTTTGATGTGATTACGAAAGTTCGCTATCTCACCGACATTGCCTCAGAAGTAAGCGTTCTTCCAGCAATTCCTAACCATAGATTGCAAGAACCCGTTTTCAACTTACAGGCGACAAACAGAAAATCGACTGCCAGGTATAATGGGCGATTTGTCATTTATAACGTTTACACAGGCAGACTCACAGGATCTTCGGTATTTCGGATGTTTCTATGCTAATCATTGTTATAGACCTGCTGCAACATCATAACCTGCTCATGGACGCGCGCAAATGGAGGACAGTAGATGGAAATATCAATTTATCTGGTTGTGTAACTTCCTTTACTGGATGTAGATTGTCCCCAGTCACTGTTAAGCGCCTAATTTATTCATAACGTCAACGGAACGTCGACAAGTACTCCGAACTCTATCAAGCGATACCCAAATTTCCGTGTGTAACTAGCGATGTTGCACATCACATCACGACCACATGACTACCTGTATTTCTGAAAACACACTGACTAGCTCCCGAGAAACTAAGTTTGGCCGAAAATGAAACCCACCACATAAAGTCCCAAAAAGGACAGCAATGATCGACGTCAAACTGATGACTGTTGGCAACCGAATGCAATACCATAGCTGATCGTTTCCTTTTGCCTCATACTCGAGATTTGGAAGCTACTTAAAAATGGCACAATATTGTTTTGAAAACCTGTCCGATTAAAATGTACAACCTAAATCCCGAGGCTGCTTACGACATGTCTAAAACAGCAATCATTACCCCTTCGGATCCCACAAATGTTTGCCCGATCCTTTCGGTTTAATAAGTACAGCACGAACTTTCCAGAGATTTGTCTGCAATGCCTATCGAGGTATCATCTTGTACTAATATGTAGATGACTGTTTGATTTCAACCCCGGACAGAGGACCTCACTTTCAGCATATGGAACTTGTTTGCCAGTGACTTCAAAAACATGGAATTATTATAAACACTCAGCAATCTCAAGCATATTATTGACACTTTAGGCACCCAACATTCACACAGCAATTCTGGATTACCCAGAAATGACCACAAGCAAGTAGTTATGTATGTTTAATGGCCTCATAAGTATTTTTCGACGGTTCATACCGAATCACGTGTCTCTCATGAAATCCTTGACAGACCAAATCGTGGGAATGCCAAAATCATCAATTTAGACAACAATGCGAATAGTCACTCCCCTCACTTAAGGTAGTTATTGCGAAATCAAATATGCTCGCACACCGGGACATCAAAGCACTGACCGATATCACAATAGACGCATCTGACTCGGTTGTCGGAGGAGTCTTACAACAATGCGTAAACAACAGCTAACAATTTTTGGAATTCTTCTCGAAACGGTCTCGAGACACTGAATTGAGGTATGGCACTTTCGGTAGGGAACGCTTGCCATTTGTTGTACTGTACCGACCACAAACCTTCCACCTTCTCTCTTAGCTCATCTTTATACAGGTACTCCACTCGAGTTTCAACAACTGGTTTACATTTCGCAGTTTACTTCAGCTCATTAAGTGACATATAAACAGGTGGAGATCGTCCAATAGTGCCGAAACATTATCGACACGACATGTGAAATGTGATCCACAATTTTCCCATTCAGGTGCTCGAGTAGCCATCAAATCCATAGCAGAACGATTTTTCTGGCTCGATATGAATAAAGACGTGAGGGTGTGGGCACACTACTGTGTAAGTCTCCAGCACTTTATAGTGATTAGACACAACAAATGTCCCTTAAACTCCTTCGATACTTCCGATTCTCGTTCCATATAGATTTGGTAAGACTTCAGTGGAATTTATCCCTAACCACATAATTTTCAAAGCTGAACACCTAACAAGTGAAAAAATAGATGTTCAACATTTAGGCGCAGAAAACCCAGCAATCAAGAAAGCCGAAAGCAGTAATTCAATTCGATAGGACGACATGGCTCAGCCTTGCGGGTGTGATCATTCTTGTGTAACTTGTCTATTGATTTTTAGTATATTGTTCCATCTCCAGCCTAAATGTGTTCTCCATCATATATTAGTGATTCTTACGATAGGATGAGTCAGTGTAGACAATGATGTAACTTTCACATATGATCTTACAGAGTAGGTAGTCACATTATGACAAATGTACAAGTTTAGGATTAGGTCTATTATTAGAGCAGTACAAATAACGAAGTATACCATAATTTTACAGGGTCTTTCTTAGGATCAAATCGATGCTCTTACCTTCTAACTTATATGTACCGTTTCACACGATGGCCAGAATCAGTACTTATCAAGGGCGTTACTTCTGAAGCAGTGGCCCTCACCTTCGTCGAAGGATGAGTAGCGACCCTCGACTTTCCCTCAACTACCACTAGAGACTGTGGATGCCAGTTTTAATCTGAACTTTTTCGTTGTCTTACGACACTGTAGAACGATAATCTATCATCCACAGGTTAGTAGAACGATGTCACTGACATCCTAAGGCTTCACTCTCAGTTGCATATTTTTCCACTCGTGTCTATTGGTATTTCGCAATACGGTGTAAGTTGACATTGGATGCAGTTCAGGACAACGCGTCCACGGAATGACATTCTAACTTCCAGGAGGATTCGTAAGTCCTTCATGTTCTTCAGTGAATACGGATATAAACTCCTACAAAAGCAGGCTTACAAACGCCATGTGTTCGGTTAAACCAGTTTTCACATGACCGCAGTCAACTGATGCTTTC